CCCCAAAGTCTTAACTCATTGCAGCGTTAACTCAAAAGTCCACAGTCCAAAGTTTCATCTAAGACAAAGCAAGTCCCTTCCACCTATGAGCCTATAAAATCAAAAGCAAGTTAGTTACTTTCTAGATACAATGAGGGTACAGGCATTGGGTAAAAAGAGCCATTCCAAATGAGAGAAATTGGCCAAAACAAAGGGGCTATAGGCCCCATGCAAGTCCAAAATCTAGTGGGTCAGTCAAATCTTAAAGCTCCAAAATGATCTCCTTTGACTCCAGTCTCACATCCAGGTCACACTGATGCAAGAGGTAGGTTTTCATGGTCTTGGGAAGCTCCACCTCTGTGGCTTTGCAGGGTATAGGCCCCCTCCTGGCTACCTTCATGGCTGGCATTGAGTGTCTGTGGCTTTTCTAGGCACACAGTGCAAGCTGTGGGTGGATCTACCATTCTGGGGTCTGGAGGATGGTGGCCCTTTTCTTACAGCTCAACTACACATTGCCACAGTAGGGACTCTGTGTGGGGGCTTCGACCACACATTTATCTTCCTCACTGCCCTAGCAGAGGTTCCCTCAGATCCCCACTCCTGCAGCAAACTTCTGCCTGAACATCTAGGTGTTTCCATACATCCTCTGAAATCTAGGCAGAGGTTCCCAAACCCCAATTCTTGACTTCTGTGCACTGGCAAGCTCAACACCACATGGAAGCTGCCAGGACTTGAGGCCTGTACCCTCGGAAGCCACAGCCTGAACCACAGCCTAGGCTGCAATCAGCATGGGTACCTTGGGCCCCACCCATGAAACCACTTTTTCCTCCTAGCCCTCCAGGCCTCTGATGGAAGGGGCTGCCACGAAGACCTCTGGCATGTCCTGGAGACATTTACCCCATTGTCTTGGGAATTAACATTCAGCTCCTACTTACTTATGCAAATTTCTGCAGCCAGCCTGAATTTCCCCTCAGAAAATGGAGTTTTCTTTTCTATTGAATTATCGGTCTACAAATTTTCTGAACTTTTATGCTCTGCTTCTCTTATAAAACCAAATGCTTTTAACAACACACAAGTCACATTTTAAATGATGTGCTGCTTAGAAATTTCTTCTGCTAAATACCCTAAATCATGTCTCTCAAGTTCAAAGTTTCACATCTCTCTAGGGCAGGGGCAAACTGCCACCAGTCTCTTTGCTAAAACATAACAAGAATCACCTTTGTTCCCATTCCTATAACAAGTTTCTGGTTTCCACCTGAGACCACCTCAGCCAGGACATTATTTCCCATGTTGCTATCAGCATTTTTGGCAAAGCTATTCAACAAGTCTCTAAGAAGTTCCAAACTTTCTCATATTTTCCTGTCTTCTTCTGAGCCCTCCAAACTGTTCCAACCTCTGCCTGTTACCCATTTCCAAAGTTGCTTTCACATTTTTGGGTATCTTTTCAGCAGTGCCCCACTCTACTGGTACCAATTAGTCTGTCTTCATGCTGCTGGTAAAGACATACCCAAGACTGGACAATTTACAACAAAAGAAAGAACTTTAATGGACTTAAAGTTCCACATGCCTGGGGCAGCCTCACAATCCTGGTGGAAGGTGAATGTCTCACATGGCAGCAGACAAGAGAAGAGAGCTTGTGCAAGGAAACTCCTGTCTTTAAAACCATCAGATCTCATGAGACTTACTCACTATCATGAGAACAGCACAAGAAAGACCCTCCCCATAATTCAATTACCTCCCATCAGGTTCCTCCCACGACATGTGGGAATTGTGGGAGTTACAATTCAGGATGAGATTTGGGTGGGGACACAGACACACCATATTAGAAGCCAATTGGCACATTCAGAATTCTACCCGGAAACCTGCTTAGCCAGTTCCACAGACTCCTTAGGTATATTTTTTATCTTTAGATTTCTGCACATAATGGTTTTTTTTCAAATGTTTCCCCACTATTTAATATTGGGCATTCATCTCCAGTCCTCAATAATAATTTGCTTATTGCTCTTCTAACCTCCATAAATAGTACCATTGTTCTTCCAGTTTTTACCTGTAGTTCAGGGACTGTCTGGGTCTCTTTCTATATCCCTCCATAGTGTTTCATCTTCAGAGTTTTTTTTCTCTCCATGTAGCCACTCTCTCCAGGACAATAAGTGAACTTCCTTACACAGCAGCTGTTTGTCCCTCTGATCAAAAGCAGAGGCTATGTGACCATTGTAGGACTGGACCCAAAAGTCCTAGAATGTCATGTCTGCTGCATTCTATTGGTCAAAGCAAGTCCCAAGGTCAGACCAGATAGAGTTTACCCTCATCTCTTGATTAGAAAAGCCACAAGGGCATATAATATGCAAAAAACTCTACCATGGGTTGAATAGCGGCCCCCAAATAAATGCTTATGTCCTAATTACCAGAAACTGTGAATGTTACCTTACTTGGAAAAGAGATCTTTGCAAATGCAACTAAGTTAAAGGTCTTGAGATGAGGATATCATCCTGTCTTATCCAGGAGGGCCCTCATTCAATGACAAGTGTTCCTATAAAAGATACACAAAGGAGAGGCATACAAACAGAAAGAAAAACCATGTGAAGATTGAGGCATATGTAGTCACAAGCCAAGGAATGCTGGCAGCTGTCAGATGCTGGAAGAGACAAGGAACAGAATCTCTTTTAGAGCCTCTGAAGGAAGCACTGATACCTTGATTTTGGACTTCTGGACTCAAACTGTAAGAGAATCAATTTGTGTTGTTTTAAGTCACCATATTTGCGGTATTTGGTTATGGCAGTCACAGGAAACCAACATAGCAGCTATGTTTGAAGTCAATCGAATACATTATGCTTATATTATTTCTAATGTTCAGATACTGAACATAAATAAGCTTTAAAAAATTTGCTTCAGTCTACATAGGTCAGATATATAGTATTTATTAATAATTTTAAGAAAAAATTTATTTTTGAAAATAATTCTTGAATGGACTGATTTTATAGGATAATGAATATAAGAAAAATAATTTCCATTTTATAAATAGTTTTCAAAACTATAAATGTTGTCCCAGTGTAGATTTTAAATTGCATACTTACTATACAAATAACTGTCTAATGCATTGCTTTCTGCAATGATGGAAATGTCCTATCTCTGTCCAATGTTGTAGCCACTAGACATGTGATTATTGAGAACTTGAAATACGATTTATGTCACTGAGAGATTAAGTTTCAAATTTTATTTCATTCATTTACTTTAAATTTAGCCAAATATGACTAGTGGCTACCATATTGGACAAGTGCTGGTCCAACAAATCCTTTTACAAGTTAGGTAGTATTATCTCTTTTATTTTAACAGAATTGAAGAGGAACATAATTGTATTGGCCACTGATGGACTGAATTATTCACAGCAACCACCTATGGCCACATGGCAAGAAATACATGGCATGCATTAGGTTAAAAGGTCAAGAAATGTGTAATAAATAAACTATTTACAAATGTGAGCAAGAGGTAAAGAAACCAAAGATAGTGTAATACCCTGAGAATACTAACAAGAAAGCTGTCAATATCTTAGGGCCTAAAGGAATAAAAGGGAGCATTTACCAGGAGATAGTATAGATAGGGTTACCTTGAAAGGAGAGGTAATTTTTCAGGGAAGGAGCGGGAAGAATAAATAGCCTTGTCTTCTGTTCTTCTAATCTCCTGCCAAGAAGTAGTCATTGGTAAAATCCAGCTGGAAGCAAGAAGGCAAGTATGCTGATACAGTCCACACAGGTCAGCCTCCAGGCAGAAAGTAAGATAAAATAGAATGGTATAGATCTAGAAGGATAAATAGAAGATACCCAACAAATAGAAAATTAAAATAGAATTATTATTTATTATAATGTGGTTTTGGCTGATTCAATTCAGCTGATGTTTACAGAAGTGAGTGACATTGTTATAATTAAACGTTTTATATTTTGTTAACTTATTTATGTAAATGAGATTTCCACAGTTTCAGTCTTGTCTCATTTTAGCAATAAGTTATTCATCCAAAGGTACATAATAAACCGAAAGAAAGGGAATGCTCCATTCATTTCAGATGTTTCCAAAAATATGATAAAAAAAAGTCTGACCCTCCACAAAAGCAGTGCATAAGGTGGCACAACTGTCAGAATCAACTTTTTCAGAACCCTGAAATGTAATCAAAAGCTTACAACAACCAGGGGAACACTTAATCAAGAAAAAGCAGCCAAATCTCAGCATATGTCCTAGCAATTCCTCTCCTGGGTATACACCCAAGAGAACTGAAAACATATGTTCACATAAAAATTTGTACATGGAACATTCATAGCAGTATTATTAATAATAAATAAAAGTGGAAACAAGCCAAATGTCCATCAACTGATGAATGGATAAACAAAATTTGGTATAACTGTACAACGACTATTATTCAGCCATTAAAGGAAATGAAGTATTGATATGTGCAATCGCATGGATGAACCTCAAAAACATTATGCTAAGTGTAAGAAACCAGTCACAAAATCCCACATGTTATATGATTTCATTTATATGAAATGTCTAGAATAGGGAAATCCACAGAGACAGAAAGCAGATTAGTGGTTGACAAGGGATGGGAGATGAAGGGAATGGAGAATGACTGCTTAATAAATAAGGGGTTTCTTTAGGGATGATAAAAATACTTTGGAACTTTATAGAGGTGAAGGTTTCACAATACTGTGAATGCACTAAAAGCCACTGAACGATACATTTTAAAATGGTGAATTTTATGTTATGTGAATTTTACCTCAATTTTAAAAACTGTGGTATTTAGATTCCATTGGATACATTAATAGTATGATGGATTTTTATTTGAAAATTCAGAATTTTTAATATTCTTGAAGTTGCCATTTTTATAACAATTTAATCTAGAATGAAAAAAATTTAGATATAACTTCAAAAATGTGTGGCAGGGTAGGTTGAATCCAATGAGGCTGGTGATATTTGACTGTTTTAACCTATAAAATGACATTTTATATGATTCCATTGTTTTTCAAATGTTCTAGAAGGTGTATGAGCAAATAAGTAGATCACTATGTAAAGGATTAGAGAAAGAAGGTAAACTTAGCACCTGTTAACCTGGGGGCAAGTGAGCTTCAGGTGAGTAAGAATTTTCAGAGAGGGAATAGAAGCATGAGGAGTGTGTGATGGTGGGCAGCACAGGAGCGCCCCAGCCCTGGGCCTGCAGCTTGCCTTCCAATGCTCCACCACTTACTTGCTATGGAGCATCAGACAAGTTCATTACCTTGGTGCATTGTACAGATGATACTAGTACTTACCACATAGGGTTGTTCTGAGGGTTAAATGACCTAATGTATAAGAATAGTGTAAAACAATACTAGTAAATACAAGCTGCATTAGCGGGGCCATTGCTACAATAACACTGCATAACAAACAAGCAAAAAATTTCAATGTTATACTACAATAAGCATTTATTTCTCACTTTGCACCTGTAGATTGGTTAGACTTCCCTCAGGCTGTAGGTTAGGACCAGGTCTGCTACAAGAGTCGCTCATCTTCCTTGGACCAACAGTTAATCAAGGAACGTTCTTCTCATGGCAAAAGGCAGGAATACAAGGAAATGTTAACTTCCCTTTTGAAGTAAGGCTGTTTTTCTTAAGTTTTTTATTTCCATTTGTTTTGCATATTCTTCTAAATATTGTACTTTTATTGGAATTTCAATAGAGAAAACATTATTATCCATTAAACATTCCTTGGTTGTGAAGCAAATTCATGCTTCAGTCAAAAACACTGGTGTGTCTCATTCTTTGAAGCAGTCATCTTCCCTTCTGCACCAAATGAGCTACATGAATCCCATACAACATTGACAAAGAGAGACGGAGAAAAATCATTTCCTTGGATTCTGAATTCATGTTGATTATAATTTTCTTTCCTCTTCTTTTGACAAGCCAGTCTTATGTGCTGTCAAAGTAATTTTGTAGCATCTACTAAAGAAAAATAATTTGGAAAACACATCACATGTGCTAGCTGAGAGATATATCTTGTTGGGCAGGTGAAGCAGGATTCAAGGGGAATTTGCATCTCTTCCTGTAGTTTGGCTTGTATGTTTTATTATCAGAAACCAAAAAAGTTTTAATTCACCTTCTTCTGTTTTCTGGTGAATAAACAAAGGAAGATGTTTCGATAAACAGACTTAATGGGAGAAGTGGACATATTATACCTTTGCAGATAACTCAAATGTATAAGCCTAAGGAAACACGCTTATCAATTCTTCCCAACTGAATGGCTGTTTAGCTTGTGGGATTCTGATAATAAAGTAAATAAAATTAATACTTTTTTTCCACATAGTACTGCTGTAAATTACATGCAAAATTATCATATGTGCCTGGCCAGGATGAAAACACCTTGAGATCAAGTGTTTACTATAATACTAATGTGTAGATGGTAGAGTCCTTTTGGCTAAAAAGCAAGAGAGCACCTTTCTTAGAGGTACATAATGTGGCTTCCAAACACTAAAACTTGTTTCTGGGTTGCAATTCGAATCGGCAAAGACTGAGTGTGAATAATACACTTGATTTTGTTGACACCTGTTATTTTATTTTATTTCTGGCTATAGACAGGGTCTTGTTCTGTCACCCAGGTAGTCACAGCTCACTGTAGCCTCAACCTCCTGGGCTCAAGCAATCATTTCTCCTCAGCCTCCCAAATAGCTGGGACTACAGGTGTGCACTACCACACCTAGCTAATTAAAAAAAAAAAAAATTGTAGAGATGAGACCTCACTATGTTGCCTGGGCTGATCTTGAGCTCCTGGACTCAAGCAATCCTCTGGCCTCAGCCTCAGCCTCCCAAAGGGCTGGAATTACAGGCATGAGCCACTGCACCTGACCTGCCAGCCATTCTTTTTAATTTCTGTTTAAATGTTTTACATTGTGATTATATTTCCTTAGAGTGAGGGAGCTTTAGCCTAGTCCCAAGATGGAAGGTGTAATCTCACAGGAAGTCCTAGCCACTTGTCTGCCCTCTGAAGTTCAACTAAAAGTGATTATGTGCCTTTGATCACACATTTGATTTTCAGTCTTAAGGAAGGTGTATGTGGGCACTATGCAACCATTCATCATGATACCAATAGGGATGGGGGTAACAGAAATTCCAGGCAGAAAAGGGTCCCTGGTGAAGTCCCACTCTCAAGCCGAAAAGCCTGAGACTGCAGCCCAAAGCGAGAATTTATATCCCCATTTTTCTACTGGAATACTGTCTTTTCCTAAACCACCCCTGGTCCTGCCCTGCCCCATTGTGTACCTATAAAGACCTCAGTCTCAGCTGGCAGAGAGGAGAAGCAGCTAGATGTCAGGGACTATGGCTGGACATCAGAGAGAAGTGGCTTGACTTCAGAGGGACAGCTTGACAGTGTAATTTCGGAGAAGAATCCAGCCAGAGATGGCTGGTCTTGAGGGAAAGGTTATCTACCCGTTCTATCCCCTTTTCAGCTCCCTTTCCCACTGAGGGCCACTTCCATCAGCAATAAAATTCCCTGCATTTATCATCCTTCAATTTGCTCATGCGACTTTATTTTTCCTGGACACTGGACAAGAGATCGGGAGCCATGAGTGTGGATACAAAAGGCTATCACACTGGCCCTTTGCCCTCACTGGTGGAAGGTAGCTGCCTCAGGTGAAAAGGCAGAGGGCTCACTTAGCTGTTAACACTTAAGCCACACACAGATGGCAGAGCTAAAAGAGCACAGTAACACACCCTCTGGGGCTTCAGGGGTCTCAGTCACCCCCACCTAGACGCTGCAGGGCCTGCATGAAGTTCACTCCTGACGGAGCCCAAAAGTCCTAGCACCCACTCATCCCGTGCTCCCTCCCTCAAGAGGTGCAATGCAGCAGGTCAGAGTAAGTGGAGTTTGATCCTGCTGGCGTTGAAGCAGTCAGCTGGTTCCAGCACTGGTGCACTCCAGTTCCCACCTCATTCACTTGCATGTCTCCTCCTGTGAGGAGTTGAGAGCAGCGGGCTGAATAAACAAGGCACCCCTGTCCCGAGTCCCACGAAAGGAGTCAGGGAAATAAGCTGCTTCATCACTCCTTTAAAATCTTTAATGACAGGCCGGGCGCGGTGGCTCAAGCCTGTAAACCCAGCACTTTGGGAGGCCGAGGCGGGTGGATCACGAGGTCAAGAGATCGAGACCATCCTGGTCAACATGGTGAAACCCCGTCTCTACTAAAAATACAAAAAATTAGCTGGGCATGGTGGTGCGTGCCTGTAATCCCAGCTACTCAGGAGGCTGAGGCAGGAGAATTGCCTGAACCCAGGAGGCGGAGGTTGCGGTGAGCCAAGATCGCGCCATTGCACTCCAGCCTGGGTAACAAGAGCGAAACTCCGTTTAAAAAAAAAAAAAAATCTTTAATGACAGGAGAAAATTCTCATGGGAGAATTATACTATTTCTAAGTGAAAAAAAAAATAGAATACAAGCTATTTAAATAGTATAATTTCCACTGAGTAAGAAAAATGTACAGTTATTTGAAAGGAAATACATCTAAATGTTAATAGTGAGGCTCGGAATCATTATTATTCCTCTTGTTGCCTTATCCTGTATTTATGAACTGTTTACAGTAAATGAGAGCTGCTTTTTATTTTTTGAGACAGTCTTGCTCTTTCGCCAGGCTGGAGTGCAGAGGCACGATCTTGGCTTACTGCAACCTCTGTCTCCCGGATTCAAGCGATTCCCCTGCCTCAGCCTCCTGAGTAGCTGGGACTACATACAGGTGCGTGCCACCATGCCCGGCTAATTTTTTGTATTTTAGTAGAGATGGGGTTTCACCATGGCCAGGATGATCTTGATCTCCTGACCTCATGATCCCCCAACTTTGGCCTCCCAAAGTGCTGGGATGAGGCATGAGCCACCGTGCCCAGCCAAGAGTTACTCTTATAACTTGATAAGTTCCTAAAAATTAGCTCCCCATTCTTGTTCTGTTACCCAGGTTGGAGTATCATGGCAAGATCACAGCTTACTCTAGCCCTGACTTCCTGGGTTCAGGTGATCATCTCTCCTCAGCCTCCCAAATAGCTGGGACTACAGGCACACACTATCAAACCTGCCTAATTTAAAAAATATTGTAGAGATGGGATCTCACTGTGTTGTCCAGGCTGGTCTTGAACTCCTGGCCTCAAGCAATCCTCTGGCCTCACCCTCCCAAAGGGCAGGGATTACAGGCATGAGCCATTGTGCCTGGCCTCCCAGCTGTTGTTGAAATATGCTGGAAAAATAACATTTTATACATTAAAAATAAGATATAAAAGAGGCTTTTCTAAGCTTCCCAAAACTTCTATCTTCTGCCATAACTTATTTTTCTTTATTCCCTTCTTGGTGGTCTCAGTTAATGTCATAATTTCAACTACTGATGTTACGACATAAACACCTTGGTCCTAGGTATCCACCCTTTGCCTTGTCCTTTAGTTCTAGTCCTGCAATACCAACCACTTGCCGAGTAGCTCTACATGGATATCTTGTAAGTACATTCAATATAAACCCCAAATCAAATCATGAATTGTCCTCCAAGGCCCACTTATGATCCTACCGACTCTGTTCCTGTTAACGACACCACTTTCTCAGTCATTAGGATATAATCACACTATCACACTGTTATCTTAACCCTCCCTTATCTTTCACATATAAACAATTGTCATCACATTTCACCTCAACAATGTTGCTTGAATTTAATTGCTCCTCTCCATTCCCACTGATAGTATCCTAATTATATCTCTCACTTGGACAATGGCATTGTACTTACCAAACACCTCACATTTATTAACCTTAATCTGCACAATAGTCAAATGATGTATGTACTCTTCTTATCATCTCTATTTTAGGTCACTTGCCCAAGGTCATAGAGTTTACAAGCAGAGCCAGGATTTGACCCCAGGCAGTCTAATGTCAGAGACTGTATCCATAATTTCCTGCCACATAGCCTCTAGATCAGTTATGGCAACAACAGCTATTCTAATTTTCCCTACAATTCTATGAAAGTAGCATTATCCGTATTTTAGAGATTTCGAAACCAAGGCTCAAGCAGGTTAAGAACAGAAAAATACCTGATGAGTTGTCGGCCTACGCACCCACCTGCCTTCATCAGATTAATTCTCTAAGTGCACCCGTCTGATTATTCCTTAAATAAGAAAAAGAGAAAAAATTGTGTCCTTATTGTCTTAAGGAAAAAAGTCCAAACTGTTATTTGGGCTTTCAAGGGCTCCCCATGCCTGCTCACTTTCTAGCTTCATCTGCAACTTGTCACTCAAGCTGGGTAGATCACCTTGCCTGAACTCATACATGCTTAAACTTCTATTTTCATTTCTTACCACCCATCCCAGTCACTGTGTATATATTCTGTGTATATGTTGAAAAAGTACCTTTGGGATTTTCACTAAACAGCAACCATAGATTAGGTATATTCTGAAGACTTCTTTGCCATTACATAGACCATGGAAAGAGCAAAGTCATTTAGTTTTTCCAAAGTGGGAAAACAGGCTTGGCAGAGCTATCTTCCTGCTTTCTCTCATGCAGTGGTGCCCCATGGTAATGCTGTCAGTTCAACAATGTATATATAAATAATAAAATGTAAAAAAAAAATTAGAGGATGGTGATGAGTAGAGCAGAAGCAAAAGGCAGGTTAAGTGTCCTTTAGCTATTAACCCTGAGAATGATGACTTGGATAGTCCCAGCCTGGAGACCGCTTTTGTCCAGATGGATTTTTTGTATTGGTCTTCTGCTGTAGTAGGCTAGAGCTTGTTTTAATCTTTTCCTCTTTCTCCCCTAGCTCCTCCACTTCTTCCTCCTCCCTCTTACACCTCTTCTCCTTCTTCTCAGATCTTTTCATCTAAGAAAGTCTTACTAGGAATTTCAATGTGAACAAGAGATTAAAAACAGAGCTGCTTTGCTAGAGGTGGGGTGGGGAGCCCAAAGCCTTCTTCATCTGCCCCTCGTCACATCCCCCCTCCTTGCACCTGAAGACTTTTCTGCAAAACCAGTTTCCAAGAGCTGTGTGGGCAGAGTGTGCATGTGCAGGCATGCATGCCTGTTTGGAGATGGTATGGAGAAAAAGGTGATTGTATTGTTCATAAAAATGTAACTTGCTCCAATGTACCCCCACTTTCTTTCTAAATTACTTGCTTTTATATTCTGGATTCCCTAGAACTTACATTGAAATGTCATACAACTACTATTTGTTTAGGGCTTGCTGAGCTGCTTTCATGCCGTGAGGATTGAGAAATATATGAAGCAGTCCCTGCCCAAGAAAGTGTATAATTTAATCATGAAGCGAAGGCTTCGTGAGAAGTCTTCATGAGAAGTCACCTTCCTGAGAGTTACTCAGTTACTCCAACATTCTAGATTTTCAGTTCTTATCTTTTGCTTGAACTTTGGCTCTAATACTTTAACTGCCTGTTTGCCTCCTAGACAATCTCTACTTGATTGTCCTACCCCTCACCTCAATTCGACATCTCTAAACCTGAAGCTATGTTTTCCTTTGTCGGGAAACCAAGATGTTTGTAACATCCACATCAGAGTTGTCTGCTAAACAAGTAAAAACATGGAGGAACAATAATAAACAGTGGAGATCATCAAAGTGACCAAAGTAACAAAAATAACTGGGGCTTTCTAAGAGCTACTATTAATGATTTGAAGCCCGTAACGTTTGAGAGGGAGTAGCTGTCTCCTGGAGTGAACATACACCTGCTATTACCTCGATAACCTCAGTTCCTTGCCTCTCATCCTGTCAGTATCTCTATGTTAATATGATTAAAGGCAGGGTTTTTAATATATAAACAGCTCTTAAATTACAAGTCAATAACTACATTTACAATGCAGCCAAATAAGCAGAAATCCGTTCTAAAAATGGAGAAAAAACTGACCATGATGGACACTCTAAAAGAAGGTACTATATGTAAAAAACAGTATTTATTATAATTTCCGGGTAGTGACTAGTATTTTACGGAACCCATAGATCAGGCATGTTCAGGGTGATATGGCCATAGACATGACTGGTATTTTCAAGAGTAATTTTGAACCCATCTTACATCCATATTGTAAAAACAAACCCTTGCAAAAAACTTGTGACTTTATTGTGTTTGATTTTGCTGAAGAGCAAAAGCCCCCAAGGCTTGCAGAGTAGCAGACTGTTGCTCAATGTAAAGAAGAACTCCTAAGAAGAGGGCTAGTCAGACTGGTAGTCTAGGAGAGCAATGTGTTTCCTTTTCTAATTCAGACACGAGCTGGGATGAAGCACTGCATTCAGAGGGATGTTGAACTGAAAGTCCTTCAAAGACCTTCCAACTAAACACTTTATAAGCATATGAATATAAGTTCACCGGGAGATTAGGGAGGCGAGAAACTAAAATTAGAAGGACTTTTAGCAGAGGGGTCTTCCTAATGGAGGAGGTCATTAGGGCTTGCTTTGAAGGGCTGCTAGGTTTTTGAGAAGGGGTGAGTAAAAGGCATCATTTTGGGTGGGAAAAACATTATGTCAAAGGTGTGGATGAGGCTGGGCAGGTGCAAGAGAAGGAAGAGGGCAGCTGATGCTGATGCGGGAAAACAATATGATAGGAAGAGCCCCTGGAAAGAGAGCAGTTGATCTGTGTTTGAGGCAGTGATGAGCTTAGCAAAAACCTGACAGCTTTTCATATGTCATCTGATAAATCTGACAGTTGCCTAAGGACATGTGAACTTGGGAGCAGCTCTGAAGTGCAAGGACCTGAAAGAGCTGTGTGCTGTGTTACAGCTTCTTCTCCGGGCTGAGGAACTAGGTCTTGCCTAAGTACAAGGGGATGGCTGCCAATCAGAACTTCCAATTTATCCATGGCAGAGTAACCTTTTAGGTGTCTGTCTTGTCTATATTGAGATGAAAGGGCCACAAGAAAATCTGTAAACATTTTATTAAAGCCATAACATGACATTTTAAGAACTTTCATTTCACCATGGAGGTGAAAAAACTTTCAAAAATATCATAAATATCCTTTACTACTGAACAAATAAACACAGATCATTTATTAAAGGAACGGAAACACTGAAAGCAAGCCAGATATGGAATTGTTTACCCTAAAAACACTTCGGATAAGTATCCATTTTGTAACTCTACCATTATAACTGTAATTATAATATAGATTATATATACAAATTATAATACACAACCATTACAGGATGGTTTGCAGCAGCATGCAGCTGGGAGTGACAGTATATCCTCTGGACTGCAAATGACCTGTCTCTGATGTTACTGTCCCCACTTGAGCCCTAGGGATAGAGCTGTGTATATTATGGCAAGTGGCCAAGGAAGTATCATGATGGTTCTGTCAGCAACCCCAAAACGGTGATAGTTCTAGGTAGTTTGTATATTTCTATGTTTTGGCATTATTGAGTTTCAACTGTATAAATCCGTATTTTCATTGTATTCCTTAAGTCTATACAATGGAAAGGGAACAAGGCAAAGAAATTCAGAAAACAGTAGAACAGATTATGTTTCAATCAATTTGCACTTTTGTAATAAAGAGACCTCAAATCCTGATGTATTAACTTACAACAGGCAAAGTTTCAAACATTCTTCTACTGTCATCCAATTGTCTATGTGTGAGGATAACTGGTTGTAAGGACAGAGGACTAATCACAAAACGCATCCTTTGCCTAATGAGACCCTTAGTAGAATAAGATAGCACTTTAGATTTATTCTGAAAAAGACAAAAGACTTTTTGGCTGGTGACACCCAGTGTTGTTTCTATGATATTACCTCCCACCGTAGACTATCGCGCCTCTCCTTGAATCCAACCATTCTATAATTGACCTCGGATTTACTTCAAATAAAATCCCCAAGATATTGCTGCTTTCCCCTTTCTTGTCTTAAGTGTTTGTTTATACAGGTAGGATTTAGATGGGATGAGAGAGGAAGGGACATTTAAAGCAAGGGAACAGCCTGAATAAAGACAATATATTCATATATGAGAGAAGTCATAAGTTGAGTCGCCAGGCTACAGCAGACAATTTCTCCTAAATTGGTGGGAGGTTGAGGAGGAATCTTCTGGAAACTTCTGAGGAGGAATCAATCTTATATAGTAGTAGGTGTGCTTGGTTGTAGAGTGGTGGGTGGATGCCAAAGAGATGTGGAGGAGGAGAAGGTGGCAAAGCTCACAGGTGGGTCACCATGAAGAACAGTGCAGAGAACTGAATTGCTATCCTGAGTGCGAAGTCAGGGAGCAACACACAAGACCACCCTCACTTCTGACACCAGATGCAGTTCCAGGGTTCCTGGAGACCATCCTCAGTTTCCACAGTTCACTAGAAGGACTCACAGAACTCATTGAAAGCTGTTATATTCATGGTTTTGATTTGTCACAATGAAAGGTTACAGAATAAAATCAGTCAAGGGAAGTGATATATAGGGCAGTGTCCCAAACACAGAGCTGATTGTTCTCTTCCAGCAGATTGTGGACAGCATTAGCTTTCCCAGTAACATTGGAAGGCAATATGCACAAAGTACTGCCAATCAGGGAAGCTCATCCACATCTTGGTGTCTATCTCAGTCACACAGACATGGTTGATCACCCATGCATCTGACCTCAGCCTCCAGCCCCACCAAAAGCACACTGTTAGACTGTTGGTGTCGCCCAAGTCCCTCAGGTAGACAAAGACATGACATTCTAAGGGGTTAGAAAGTACCTCCCAGGACCCAAGGAAAAAAACAAACTTCTCTTTGGGTCTGGGTAATTTATTAGTATACCTTGAGGTAATATATTTTGTTCTTCATTTTGTCCCCTTTTTCTTCTTTTCTTCTCATTTCTGTCTTCTTTCTTTCTTCCTTTCCCAAAATATTTAAGGTATAAATCTACGCCCAGTCTATGCTCAGAAGACCCTCTCCTCTGCTGCTGTCAAGTCACTAACATAGTGACTGGGTTCTATGAAGTGAGAACAGGGTCAGTGGCATCTCTTCATTTTGTTTGACAAATGCCATAGAGTGTGCTGGGAAAATCTCCTGGTGCCAGGTCCCTGGAGAATGTTATTTGCAAGACAGTTTCCTCCTCAAGTTGAAAAAAAATATGAAAACAAATACAAGTCACCTCAGAAGCCAAGTACTAAAAGTCTGATTCCCATGGCAACATAGGGATTTGCCCCTTTTCACTAGGGGTGAAGCATGTTGAAGACTTATTCTGGGTCATGTAGTCTCAAATAATGAGATTTCTTTAAAATATTAAATTAATACCCTAAAGAAATTGACTATGTCATCCAGGTAAGGCTGCTTCACAGACTTAGAACAGGACCTTTTAAAGCTCTCCCGGCTGTCTTTTTGTTTTATTTGAGATTTCTTTACCATTCTGTTTCCTTCAGTGAACAATCAGCCAGGGGAAGCCTTCTCAGAAAACAAGATTTCCACCTTGAGTCTTTGGTCTTCCTTAATCATCTTTAGAGATTTCTATAAGAGTAGCCTGCCTTATTATTTTTTATTATTCTTTGGAAAAATTAGACTGGGTCCAGCCTTGGGCTTATGCCTATATTATAAATGCTAAAAGGCTTTATTTGCAACTAAATTATTTCCCACATGTACTTGAACTAAATCATAAGGCACAAAAATAAAAGAACTTGAATTGACAAAATGATAATTATTCACAAAGGGAAATCATTTCAAATGTGTTGATACTTACCTACACCTACATTTTGATCTTTGGTCCAAAAGTCCTCTTAAATTAAGCATTTTGCTTTCACTGCACTTATCTCAGAATTGTGGAATAAAATAAATAGGGAACATAATAGCATTCTTTTAAGATAATGCAATTTGTGTCTAGTATGGTCATGCGTGGTGCACTTACTTATTATGCTGAACTGTGATTTAAAATACTTTTATCCTATATTCTAAAAAATAACCTAGGGTTTTCTCCTATGTTTTCAAAAATCATTATTATATATTCACATTGTCATTAATGTTGATTATGCTACCAGACAAGAGTTCTGCTTTATAAATTTAATTAAATGTTTTATGTTTTGTACTTGTACCTTGAGGCACTCTTAACATGAAGGGGACAATTTTGTAACGGAAAAAAAAAAAAAAACCAACACATATAATGAATGATATGTGTCCTGCTGCATAGAACATTTAAGAGCCAAAATTCCTGCCTCAAAATGCTTTCAGGCTAAGGAAATTATAAGGAAAATTAAATGCTTTTAAAATGTCAAGAGTGAGTTAGTTCACTTATTTGGTTTGATGTAGTCATGAAACGTGTTCTTATAGATAAGTGTATTTTTGATGAAGAGAAATTATGAGGGCTTATTACAAAGGTTATTTATAATCATTAAAAAATTTGGAGATAATATAAGTGCCCCAAAATAGGAGGCTGGTTGCATAACTATGGAGCAGCCATACAATGTGGCCCATAAAAGTCAGGATGTAAAATATTTAATAACATAGAAAAATGTTTACTATACATTGAGCGAAAAAATAAGATTATAATTTAGTATGCATAGACTGCTCCTTATTTGATTCATGTGATGGCTGATGCCTGCAATCCCAGCATTTTGGGAGACTGAGGTGGGCAGATCACCTGAGGTCAGGAGTTCAAGACCAGCCTGCCCAACATGGCAAAACCCTGTCTCTACTAAAAATATGAAAAATTAGCTGGGCATGGCGGTGGGCACCTGTAATCCCAGCTACTTGGGAGGTGAGGCAGGAGAATAATTTGAACCAGGGAGGCAGAGGTTGCAGTGAGCTGAGATTATGCCACTGCACACCAGCCTGGGTGACAATTGGGAAGCTCCATATCAAAAAAAAGAAGAAAAAGCACGTATTCTATAAATAAATAATATATGTCAATATGCATAGAAAACACTGAAAGGCTGTTTATACCAGGTTAATAG